GCAGCAAAACGTGCGTCCACTCACAGTCGACCCGCCCGGTTGTAGAAGAATGTCTACGGAACGCATCTAAACATACAAACAACCTGAGCTACGCACGAACTAACAAGTTTGACGTATCGACCCTTAAGCTTCCTTAAGGGTTGCAACAAAATGCGGGTTGGGGGAGACAAAGGCACGCTGAGCACGGCTGGGGCCCCGCAGTGACAGAGCCACGGCTCGCCGATGTTCATGTCGCGCATGCTTCTTGCCCATAAAAGCACTCCCAAACACAGAGTAAAAGCATGTAAGAGTCACCGCGCGGGACCGGAGCTGGTTGGCAGCGCAAACGGCATGGCCAACACAGTGGCTTCCATCTGGTTGTGCAACACGCCCCCCTCCCCAACAAAAACTGGAGCTAGGCTCTAAGGCCGTCACACACGCACACAGACACACAGAGCTGGTTGGCAGCGCAAACGGCATGTCCAACACTTCCATCTGGTTGTGCAACACACCCCCCTCCCCTGACCCGAAAGTACCGTGAAAAAATAAACCCAAACGCGTAACGATGTAAAACAAAAACTCGAGCTAGGCTCTCAGGCCGTCACACACGCGAGCACGGACACACAGAGCTGGTTGGCAGCGCAAACGACATGGCCAACACAGTGGCTTCCATCTGGTTGTGCAACACACTCCCCTCCCCTGACCCGAAGGTACCGTAAAAACACACACAGACACACACGCACACGCACACGCGCACGCGCACGCGCACGCACACGCACTGGCACACGCACACGCACCCGCACACGCGCACCCGCGCCCACACACACACACCCACACCCACACCCACACCCATACCCACACCCATACCCACACCCACACACCCACACACACACCCACACACCCACACCCACACACCCACACACCCGCACACCCACACACACACACACACACACACACACACACACACACACACACACACACACACACACACACACACACACACACACACACACACACACACACACACACACACACACACACACACACACACACACACACACACACACACACACACACACACACACACACACACACACACACACACACACACACACACACACACACACACACACACACACACACACACACGCACGCACGCACGCACGCACGCACGCACGCACGCACGCACGCACGCACGCACGCACTCACGCACCCCAAAAAAAAGAGGACCCTCGATTCCAGCTTTTAGGGTCAGGCGGGGGGGGGGGGTTGCCTGAATCATTCAGCACTTTGGGGGGGGCCCCCCACAACCCTAAAGTGCCTTGAAAAATCAAGCCTAAAACCTTTCGACCCAATCCTCATGTTGCAGCCAGTTGCGCCGCCTGTCGGCCAAAGCAACTTGCGATCATGAGTCTGACACTCACACCGCTCTGCAACTACTCGGACGCAGCCCTGCGCAGCGATGAGCAGCCGGCTGGGGCGGAGCCCCTTCTTCTTCTTTGACAAACTTTCCCGGCGCTCTCAATGAGCACAAACGGCGGCAAGCGCAAGCCTTGAGAATTTCAGCGACCGCAGGCGTGAGCAGCCACCGCCATCCGAATGCAAGGCAAGGCGCAACGCCGTCGCCCATCTACAGGCCTTCGCCTGAACTCAACAGCCTGACCTGAAGCAGTTTGCTCTTCTCAAAGTCTCCTGGCTGCAGTCACAGCGCTGGACTCCCAGCAGCGGCGCTTGCTTGAATGCTGAGCAATGTAGATGAGGGGAAGAGAAGCTCCAAATCCCCCGGGCATTTTGATTGCTCCGAATTTTCCGAGGCGGCGCGCAGCAGGTCTTCGGGCACATTGCAGCAGGAGATCTGAAGCAGTAGCTGGTCTGGATCTCTTCCGCTTCCTCCGCATTGGGCCGCAAGCAGCTGCTTTTGGGCAAGGCATGACGCTTGCATCGCGCTTTCAGCGTGCTGTCCGCTCCCACTTATTATCTCGTTTCTCCATCTTGGGCTATTAGTGCCTCTCCTTGGTGACAGTGCGCCTGACGCATGTCCTGGCATGTCCTGGCGCGCACGCAGGTCTCGCTTCCAGTTGCGACCGGCTGTATCAACACTGAAGAGCCACCCGTCTCCTCGGCCAGCAGCAAGAGGTGCCAGTGTGGGCTAAGCCGCACTCCTTTGAGCCAAGACGCAGCAGCACCAACGAACAAGGAGCTCATGCGCCCCACACTCACAAATCAGAAGAGGCGCGCGAGCGCAAGACTTGCAAAGAATCTCCCACCCCTGCTGGCCTTCCACGCGCCCCAACGCCTGTCCTTGCAACAGGGCATGCGTGGCAGGCTTGTCTTCACCAACCAGCTTGCCAAGCCAAGTCCAGCATAGTCGCTTCAAGTTGTCCTTGCCCCGCTGTTGACTCTCCTGCCACAACAAGAGGCAAGTTTGAAGCTGCCATGTTTGAGTCACTCTCTGTCTGCAAGCAAGAGCGGAGACGGAGCCACTTCACGCGCAGGGCTGCCCATGGTAGCTTTGGTCGCGACACTGCAGCGCTGCGCTTTGTTGATTTGACGGGCGAAGCTGTTGGAGCCAAGAAGTCAACAAAAGTCACTCGCAATCAAGCTTTGCTTCAAACCGAAACTGGGAATTTGTACGCAGGTGGGAGGCCCTGCGCTCGGGCCAGCAACCTTAAAGCGCCTATGTGTATGTCGCGTTGGTTCCACCATGCGTTTCGCATGTCGTGCCAGAAAAGCAGCTCATTTCGCAGGGCGCGTTACATTTTACGGAAGCGGTGTCCCGCTTGCTGCGCCTGCACCTTTAGGTCGCAAACCGGACATAGGGTCGGCTGAGCAGACCATCAAGCACCAGAGCAACATTATGAACCACTACTGCCTACTCATCAAACAGTCCTTTAAAAAAACAGCATTTGCAATTACTTCGCTTCGAGCAAGCCCCACCCTCCACACTCACAAACTTACGACCGTTACAACAAATTCCTCCGCATCCTAGAGACTCCGACTCCAAATTCCCACCGGCCCCTTCCGCAAAAAGGGCGAGTCTTATCCACCTGTCTGTGTGTCAAACTCCACTTGTCTGCGGGCCGATCTCGAGAACTCAAACATCGGTGCCGCTAACAATAGGCAAGCTCCTTCCAAAAAGAAACCCGGCGGGGGATTAAACAAAGTTGCTTATTCACAACCCAAAGCAACACAAAAGCATAACCCTTTCCGCGCCGCAGGGTGCACTCAAAACACGAAGACGCCAACATGACATGTAAACCCAACTGTGCGCCGGGTGGGACATTAAGCAAAACCAGACTGGCGAGCTGCTCTGGCGGGATACTGGCGGGATCCACTGGCGAATGCTGGCGGGCACGGGATCCACTGGCGAAAATACTCAGCAAGACACTCCGCGGGACCCACGGGCTGCTCTGGCTGGCGGGATACTCGGCGGGATCCACTGGCAAGCTAGTCTGGGATACTCAGCGGGATACTCGGCGGGATCCACTGGCAAGGCGCTCTGGCGGGATACTCGGCGGGATCCACTGGCGAGCCGCTCTGGCGGGATACTCGGCGGGATCCACTGGCGAGCAGCTCTGGCGGGATACTGGGTGGGGGCGTCGTGTAGAAGCATTGCAAACGCGGATTCCAACATTAAATGTAACAACCCCTTCCTGTCGGGTGGGGAACAACCAAGGACTGAGCCGAAATGAAAAGATGCGAAGCGCACGCTTGGCTGCGCCAACTGGAGCCCCGCTCAAGCATCACTTGCAACTGCGGAAAGAACACAGCGGCAACATCTCTCAACATTGCAAAATCCTGCAACACATTTGCAGCCATGGCTAAAACGAAGAGATCATCTCGAGAATAGCACGCGCCACCCACGGCATGTCCACATGGCCACCGATCCACTGAGTTCGCTCCACAAGGGTCCGGACAACATGCTGCGCTGACATCCTAAAGAGATCTCAAAAGACATGGAGCAAATGTAAAACAGGCAAAGCACGAGCCTCTCACGCCCTGACGCCTGGAAAGCCTAGGGAAGTGGAAAGGAAAGACAACTCAGAGGCCTCGAAGCATCGGCTTGCAACCCCCCGCCGCAGAGATGCTGCAGGCCAGCCTTTCGGTTCGCAATGCCGACAGCGGGAAGAAAGCTCAACTCGCCGTTGATGCCTGAAGCTTAGAAAAGGCACTTTGAGCAGTCATACTAGATGACTTTGTGGGGCTCGAGACGCGTGCCTTTCACTCCCCGCAAAACAACGCCCAGCCCACCAAGCCTGGAAAGTTGTAGGGGCGCGTCGCAGTGCAGCTGGCTGGACGAGCTCCAGGCCACCAGAAACGGAGACAAAGGCATGAAAGCTTCTCAGTGAGCTAGGCCGCACTCTTTGAGCCACAGGCAGATCACATGGAAATGTTCAAAAACTCGAAAGTCGAAAAGTCAAAAAGTTAAAAAGTCAAACCACAGCGGGGTGGGGGGGGACTACCCGCAAAGCGAAAAGTCAAAAGTCGAAAAATCGAAAAGTTATTAACTTTTTGCGAAAAGCTTTGTGTGTTTTCGTTTTGTGCATTGTCCCGCGCGGGGAGCCCAGGGTTCGCCAACCGCACCCTCAACAGCGCCCAAAACAGCATCCAGCACCGCACCCCCGCACTAACCCCTTCCCAGCACCACAAACAGCACCCAAAGCAACACCCTGATCAGTTCCTGCAGCACCGCCCAGCCCGACTTCTGAAAGCGAACCCCACCGGTAAGAACCCCTATGGCTAAAGCTGTCTGGGGAATAAGCCATGGCGGCCGAACACAAAAACAAACAGTCCTGAATAACAATCTAAGGGTTTCAGATGTCCAACGTCAAACACGATGGGTCATGTTACAGAGCAGCGTGGTCCCTCACTGCATGGCCGCGTTGGCCGCTTGCTCGTCTCGCACTGAGCCAGGATGCCCCCTTCTCAAGAAATTACTTACGATCACCAACATGCGCCACGGCGTGCATACGCGCCACGTTGGCACTCTGAAAACGCGCTGCGACGTTGAGCCAAGCAGCTCTTGAAGCACGTGGCGAGATCCTTCCATCCTGCCAGAATTCCTACGGTTGTCAGGGGCCTCGGACGGGGGCCCCTGGAATTGGCCCCCAAAAATTGTTTCCCTAAAAAGGTTTCGCTAGTAGCCCTACTTGGGATTGGAGCGCCCCTGTTGGATGACAACCATTGGAAGAATGGCTGCGCATGATATGTCGCACTGACTGGTGGCTGCACTTTGAACGGCTTTCAATTCATCCACTCAACACACGACCTACCCTTGACCACCTACGTCGGGCTTGGGGATGTTCTCGAGCCGGCGTCCTTGGGCACAAGTTCAAGGCTCAAGGCATGTGCCAGAACAAGTTGCCAAGACTGTCGTAGTAGATGCCAAGCTGCGGTTGCAAATAAGTTCCTTAAGCATGCGCAAAGCTACTGCATCCTCCGCGCAGGCTTGCACCAGCATCTCCACGTCGTCAGTGGCTGGATGTTTGCTTCCTCACGTATAGCTGCCAAACGAGCAAGCTGTTCCCCATTGAGCGGCCCTCTGTAGAGCTCACATCAACACACGGCAAGGGCATGGTGTTCTCAGACAATCGCACGAATCAGCAGTAGAAAGTCAACGACCTAAGAAAGGCTCGGTCAGCCGATCCAATTGCTGGCGCAGAAGCTGTTTGTCGCAGCGACGGCGGTTTTCAGAAGAGTGCTTCTGAGCCCGGCGACCTTTCACATTAATTCCGTTTTGGAAAGCGCTCAGCACAGCTCAAGTCACAGAATGATCTGCCACTTGGAGGCCCACCAACGCACTGGCCACCTCATCTTCAATTTACTGGGAGAAGATTGAACAAGGCTAGTTCAGGAGGGAGAATGAGGCGCGTCGCATGGGTACGTTGCATTGACGTCAGCACTTGCGCCCCGCCCCCTGCCTTCAGGCCGGAGATGCCGGAGAGCCCCTTGAGCATGGAAATGAGGGTGTTCAAGGCAATATCTTTGCTGTTGTCCTGCATAGATGTCCCACAAACAACTCTTTGGCAGCTATGGACGACTACTGCGCGGCTACAGCTACTTGAGAAGCACAAGGCTCAGCACGGCTCGTGCACAATGTCTCGCGCACTCATGTTCACACTGTACTTGAGCAAAAGAAAGCTCAGTTACTCAAATCTTGTCGTCTGACTTTTGGCAACTATTGCGTGAGCTTGAGATTGGTGCGTGCGTTTGGCGAACAGCCAGTTGCACAGTTCCCTGAGGTCATGCCAAACCTGCGTTTGCACGCTCAACGTGGCCTACCAAAGCGCGACGATGAATCAGGTGGCTGCTCTGGAATAGGCCAACGCGTCCTGTTCAAGGCCTTTCGCAAGCCCTGCCTTCTGCAGGATCTGGTCAAGGGCTGCTAGGCCGTCTGCATCTTGCGCTCGGCAAAGGCCTGCTAGTAGCCCAGGCAGCTCCTTCCGTGCAGACTCAATTTCGCAAGGATCTCACAAGCCGAGAGGTTGTTTTGGGTCTGCAGTGTGGCTGAAATTTGCCTTTGGCTGGTTGGTTTTGGCTCACCCTTGTTGGAGAAGCATGGTAGGGGCTGTCGTTAGGTTCAAAATTCAGCGCCTGCCTAAACCTGCATTGCGCCTATTGCGAGTTGTGTTTTCTCACTTTTGCTGCGAGTAGTATCAAACTCCGAATAGCTATGCGTACGGTTGCTCCACAACATCTCAAACATCATTTAGGTTTGTTGAGGTCACGTTGGTCCAGTTTGTCAGGCACCGTCAGCATACTCTAGATGACTAGGACTAGCTTCTACAACTTCCGGAGCCCGGCAACCGCTGACTGGCATAGCTGCACCATCCAGCTGCGTCTTGCAGGGTTCCGTAAGGCCAAAAACCACACCTTGGAATACCCTAGGGAGATGTGTCGACGCGCATGGCGAGGTTCTGCGACCAACCGAAATACTGCAAAAATCATGTCTTGTCTGATCCGAGGAGACGCAGGATCTTGCTTCTCAAAACACTGCTGGACTTGACCCAAGGTCTTCAGAGGGAATCTCATATCGCTACGCATCAGAGCCGCCCATCCGCCGCGTCTCCCCAGCATCGCTCCGCCCCCGCACGCGCACGCGTGCCAATTGAGCGTTTAGTGGCTTGGTCAAGCGACGATGGCATTCCACCTTGGGTTCGGCGCTCAAGTCTTGCGGGCTTGCGCTGGCCAAGGCAAACGGGAGCACTTGTGTACAGTGGCAAGCGACTTCCAAAATCTACACTAAGGGAAAGCAAGCTCCTGGAGTTCCTACTTACTCTTCGTGTTGAGGATCTTCTCATGGTTGCTAATTTCCTACACGCCATTCCTCTCACTCGCCTATTTCTTGTTAAGACTTTTATGATTGGCGAGTGACAGGAAAGAATAGATCTGTTCTCCTTTCACCTACACATCCACCCAACGGCCGAAGGGGTGTGATAGCGTGAGAGGATAGGGAACAGAACAGGCCATGTCTTTCTCCGTGCTTCACCTTCCTGCGTTCGAAGGAAGGTGAGCGGGGAAAAGAAATGCCATCCCTTTCGTCTCATGCCCTGCAAACAGAGGAGGGGGTGAGGAAAGGCATGATGAAAGAGATGAAAGAAACCAGACACGCCAGTAAAAGATGGATGGAAACGTGGGATGGGATAGAGGCTCGCGCAAACTTCTGACCGTTCCTTCGCTGCTTCGCCTGCCATAGAATCTCGGACGAAGATAGGAAAAGAGAATAAAAGTCACTTAGCATGTGCATGAACACCACTAGGTGAGAGCTATGAACTCCGGCCACCTCCCTTGCGCGCACTATTTTGATTTGGTACTTGAATTTGCTATCCGTGAGCCATAGCTATGGGAACGCGCTTCGCGTACCATTTGTGTACTCAACAAAAGCGACGATTTTCAACCCTCACCTCGTGAATGCTCTTCGCGTACTGCTGCGTACTTGAAACATGCGAATGCAGCCGGAGCTTCAGGAATGCGCTTCAGTTCACACGCTACTGTTCTCAAAATTGGCGACTTTGCAGCCAGAGCTGCGGGCGCACAGTTTCCGTAGGAAGACCTTCGGAATTACGGATCCGCTTGGCGAGCCGGAGCTGCCGTGCACCAAGCAACACAACTTCGAAAGGCCAATTCGCGAGCAGCGAAAGTACAAACATGCCCGGCGCCACAGCGCGCTTTGACACGCGAAATGTCCGCACAGAGTTCGCCGAGACCAAGACAAACTCGCACGATACCCGCGGAGGGGTACGTTTCCCCTGCCAGAAGAAGAAAAAGGAAGAAGAGTTAAGAACCGAGAAGAAAAGTCACAAAAGACGAAGTTAGCTTGTGTTCTTAGGATAGTGAAGTGACACCTGAAAAGTTGGCATGAGAAGTTGGCAGGCGAAGTAATTCTCGACAAGTTGGCCTTAGAAGTTGGCAGGTGGAGTAATTCTCGAAAAGTTGGCATGAGAAGTTGGCAGTGGGCAGGTGAAGCAGCTTTAAAAGCTGGCAGGAGAAGTTGGCTAACTCTCGAGAAGTTATTGAACCTCACGCCGCGCCAACGCATAAAAAAAAAACGGCGCCCCCGCCGCCCGCACGCGCGCGGGCGCATACGACGCACGGACACACGTTGCCCGGCCACGCAGCGATGCGGTCGTTTGCCATGCTCCCAGAGGCTGGGCAAGGCCAAGTGCGCGGTAGCTTGACATCCGCAGCAAGCTATCAGCAAAGCTTGCAAAACCGCACCAAATGCCTGAGTGTTGGCTTTCTTTCGGCACTATTGTCGCCATCAGCCACAAGCAGGTTATTTGTGACGTTTTGACTTGAAATAAGTGTTGGGCAGCCATGAGGCGCACAAGAAAACCCAACAGTGCAAGATTACGACACGGGGGCCTTGTCTTGCGCATCGGATACGTTCTTCTTGAACCACGCCACCTCTTGCAAAGGCTTCAAGAAATTGTCCAGCTTCTGCACATAACCCGCTTGATGAAAACCTCCAAGTAATTTCGCAACGTGCTCCCTTGGCAGCGCCGCAGTTTTGGCGTTTGCCAGCATTGCTGCTGCGGCCGCAAGCTTGCCATAGATTTTCTCATCCGGGCACTTCTTGAAGGCCACTGCAAGAACTGCTAGATCCTCGGTGTTCCATCCAGATTCTTCCGTCATCTCGCAGGATAAAAGGACTCTTCCAATACCCTCCAAGCCAAGTTTGCAAGCCGTTGCAAACTTGTCCGTGGCAACATCACCCAACACTGCGAATGAGTATGCCAAGCGCTGGAGTCCTCGATGGTGCGCAGGAGCCCCATTGCCCCAATCCCTGCAGCAACCAGCAACCTTGTCAAAGGCCGAAAGCACTTCTTCGCAATAACTTTGGCACAAGGAGTTCCGCACCTGCACATACAGGGTTGCTAAAGCACCACAAAGCTCACCAAAATACCTGAAGCTGCTGTACCCCGGCAGCACGCACGTGCCATCCTGTACCAGCTCCATCTTCAAGCGCAATGCAGCCGAGGTCGGAAGTGCCTTTTCCTGATCCGAAGTCCTCTGCCTGAACAAGTCAACAAAGGGCTTGTGACCACTGGCCAGGACGCAGCTCTTGACGCTTTGCAGCGGAGCACAAAAGCGACTCGGCTGATCATGCATGTCTCGAGCTGCAGCGGTCATCATCACTGTCAGCGACTCTTGATCCCATTGCTCCTTTGGCTCCTGCTGCATTCTCTCACATGCTACGATTGAGCGCATGAGCTGCGCACTGCTGAACGGTGCAATGGCTGACAGAAACTGCTCCGACTTGGCCGTGCCGTCGCTCCTTCGGCATAGGCGCCTTAACACGCTAGAGGCCAAGCCTGGAGGAAAGGACCTCTCTCCCATGAGGACCAACAGCCCAGCCAACTCGCGCTCGCACAGCATACGCGGCAAGCTATCCGGCGCAAGCTTGGGCAAAACGACACCCAACGTGTTCAGCTCCCAACGTCGCTTTCCCTCATTCTGACGTTCTGTAGCCCTCATCTCTGCGCGTTTCTGCGCAGTCTGACATAGCCTTACTCTGGTTTCACTTGCTCCTACCTTTTTGACATCAAACGAGGCCTTGTGCTGCTCGTACCATTTCTTGGACAAACGGTTCGAGGGCTCTGTATACCGCTTCTGCGTTTGCAAGGTCACCATCCCGAGCTCCTGGTATGCTGCCGGGTCACGTTCCTGCCAAGGCATGACATGGGCTCTTAACACTTGCATAATTTAGATGCGCGAAACATCCAAAACGGTGGTGACATGCAGAGGGGGCCCTGTGCATTCGAACCCTGCACATGGGTGAAATCACACGGGCGTGCCTTGCTCAGCTCTAGAATCACATCTTCAGCATGCTCTATGAGTGTCTCCTCCTCTTCTTCCTTACTCACCTCAGCGGCCTCAGCTACCTCCACGTTTCTTGGCGGAGGAGGGCTTGCCGCGCTGGTGGCTCGAGGTGTCTCCAGCTTCTTCCTGCGCAGCCCTTTCTTTGGATCTACTTCCAGGCCTGGTCCCGTACATTTCTCCAGAACCATGCTCACGATCTCAGGCACCGTGTGCCACTCTGCAGGTGGTGGCTCGAATGTTTTGCTCGTCTTGCTCCTTTCTTGGATCTTCTTTCGAAGGTCTTTCCAGAACAAAGCAAGACTGCCATCAGGGCGCAAAATGTCTTCCCAGCCATGCCACTGATCGTCATCCGGAACAGCCTCTTTTGCGGCGACATATCCCCTAGATCGGATTAGCAAGCTTTCCTTCGCATCCTCCAGGAAGGGGCCGATCGCCTGAAGACTTTTCAGTTGAGGCAAGCTCGCAAATCGTGGATGTACCGATGAGGAAAGTTGTGAGGTGGTGAGCAATCTGTGAAAAGCACATATCACCGGCGCACTTGCTTTGGGGCTCAGTGAGCTGAACTCGGAATGAACGGGCACCGATGATGCCGCACGCACTATTGCAGTGGTAAGCCGAGGCACGGTTGTAAGAGCTTTCACCGCAAGAGAAACTAGCGCGATTGGTGTGGAGGGCGGCATCTGAAGAACGTAGAAGAACAATTTTCGAACTGTTGCCGCCTCTGGTTCTGCCTGGGGGAGCAAGCCTCCAGAAATGTTGTTCTGCTCGCAATAATGAGCGTACTGCCATGCATCGAGCTCATGTCCAGTTGGGAAAAGGACACGTGCGCGAAAATCAAAATACTGCTGAAGATGAACAACTACAGCTGGCAAGCGCGCACCCCGAATGACAATGCGATCCAAATCAGCGTGGACCAACTGTGCTCCATATTGCCAATTCAATGTTGCAAAGACTTGCGCCATTTGAGGGATGCGATTTGTAGCATCCCGCGGCACAATGAGAATCAGCCCATCAGCAGGCGCCTGCTGTCCTGTTGCCTCCTTGACAAAGTTGGACAAAAGTCCAATCCCTTTCTCCACGCACCCTGGGAGGCCGGCGATGAGAACGACAGCTGAGGCGATTGTGGCGCTGTGTATCGTGTAGAAGTCGGCGCCGCTCATTTGCCGCAAATACGGCGTATTTGCGGTCAGCCGCTCAACCAAGCGTCGATCCACCTGCTTTTCAATTACCTGGACCTTCTCCACGCAGTAGCAGCGTTGGACAAATGTAACCACCCTCTCATCGACGGCCAGGCCTGAAGCAAGTCTGGAACAAGTTGTCGCAAATGCGTCTCTTCAAGCACATGTAGCCACGGCCTAGTCTTTGGAATACCTTCTTGACAAAGATCCGGGCATCGTACTCCGCACCTGCGACCCCAACTAAGGTTAACTCGGATCTGGAGGTTACAACTTTTTCAGAAACATTCCAGCCAAGCGGCGTTTGTCTTTCGTAGATAGTATCTGATACGCCTCCAAGATACGTTGGAATCGCGCAGTGGCGTTCCTTCACATCACTGCAAGTTCAGCCCTCCCCTGCAAACTAGGCATGTCAAAGCTAAGATTCGGATCTCCACCATTCTTGTCCGGATGAACGCGTCTGCACAACTTATAGTATTCCTCACAAATATGATCAGCATGCAGCATGTCAGCGATGCATGAAACATGAAAGCAACCCCAGCCTTTTTGATTTCGCTTTCTGTTGCTGTGGCCTCGAGTTGACGAGATATTTGGTTTCGATTTGACACGCAAAACACATGCCACACCAGGCCTGCACGCCCAAGGCTTCATAGTGGCAAGTGGGCAAAGGCAAGTTGTCATCATTCTTCCGCGACTTTTGCTCTGCCTCCTCCTGCTGGTTCTGCTGCCCTTGCGGTGGCTGTCCTTGTTGTTGCTGATCCCCTGCCTCCTGCTCTCCTGTTGCTTGTTGTCCCTCTGCTTTCTGCACTGGCTCTTGCTGCGCAGGCTGCGGCTGGGACTGCGGCTCTCGCGTAGCCGTGCGTTCCGTGGGAGCCTCAGGCTCAAACGTTTGGTTCTCCGCGCCTGGGGCGTCTGGGGAAGCTGCTTTTGCCTTTCCGCCAGACTCTGCATGTGTTTGCATGCTTGTTCCCATCAACGGGGCCGGCAAGGCTCCAAAGCGTTAAAATCAACGCAGTGAGACATGGCGAGCAACACACCGAACCTTTCTGCCTGAGCCAAAACAGTTTGCAAGAGCTAGAACTGACAATGGCACCAGCTGCCCCACCCGGTTGCACCATAGATGTAGCACGCAAATTTGCAAAATGATTGTCCAAGCCCTGTCTTGCCGCATGTTTTCGGCTCAAGCAGCCACGAAAATGCCAGCGCAGCCAGCTTCGTGCCTCCAGGGAATCATGCTTTGCGCGGCTTTCAACACCGTGCTCACTTACGTAAGCAAATGGCAAAGGTCCCATCCGCTTTGTTGCCAAGAGGGTAAACCATTGAGTTTTTGGTCTTTCCTTAGTGGATGTAAATGCTTCATAAACCCTATCGTGAACGCATCTTGTTGCCCGCCTTGGCCTACACAATGAGAGGGCATTCGCCCCGGGCAGTGTAGCGCAACTTGCCCCCGACCAAACAGCCGCGTTCCGCGCAATTGGCAATGTCACAGAGAGCTCCTCGGCCTCCTGCAATCCGAAGCCCTTCGCAATCCTAAATTTTATGCTAGTACAAACTAGCCTTGTCAGCTCCAGCTTGAAAATCGCAGCTGATTGAAATCACAACCTTCAGCACAGGCGCGAGGAAATGCACTTTGGCAGCTCCGGCTTGAAAATTGCACCTTTCACTACACGCGCGGAATAAGCAGTACACTTTGACAGCCCTAGCTGGAAATCTCAACTTTCCAGTGTACATGGAATCACGAGAAAGCGTGACTGCCAAATTGGGTGCGCCGGTACGCGCCCGGCACGCGTGCGCGGCACTCAGTCGCTGATCTTGGCAATGGGAAGCGTTTCTTCCTCCACAACTTCTGCCAGGAAAACACACAATTCGCAACATTTCCGCAGAGTACTTCCTTGCCTGCGTTTCGCGCGCTGGTGCTTTGACACTCACAACACAGTCGCTTTGAACAATGGCCCCCCCGGCTCGAAACTTTGCAAACCCTGGCTCCGGAGCACTCCGCGAGCAGCACATTGCCCTATCTTTGCCTGCTTGCCGCTGTGTGCCAGGAACGCTTGCAATCTTTGGCCTAGCCAACAGCAACCTGGCCACGCTATGCAAAACCCGAAGCGTCCTCCAAGCGCGCATTTGGTTGCAGCATGAAAATACATATTGTCAAGCAACGTCTGGTTCGCATACACCACAGGAGAACTGCTCGCCATCAACTCCACCAGAATTGCTTGAGATTGATCGGCCTCTGCGTAAATGTCCGATAGTGTGATACTGTGATAATTTGGCACTTTCTTTTCCAAGTCTTTGCAAGCTGCTTCCGACACCTTGCTGGCGACAAAAAACTTTCGTCAGGGTATACGTTGGCTGGGACAACAACAATTATATTTCCCATCTCCAGCTAAGCGTCCTCTTCCAGAAAAGTGAAATTCTTCACAACCTGTGCCCGCGGAAGATTGTACCAGCCATTCACGAAGCAATAGGCATCGTCTAAGGGCATATCATGATCTCGCAGGGTCATCCTGCGCCCATCCTCAAAAAAGAGAGCTTTCTCGGTGGCCCAGGGGCCAGCGAGAACGGGGATATAACCCACCTCATAGGTCAAAACAAAAACCATCATATTCTTGCTCCGGCGGCTCAGGCCGCAATTTCTTGCCCATAGTCCCGTACTGCCAAAATAGCACCAGCCATCCTCTCCGCGGAGGGACGCGACCTCCTCAATGGGCCTGATGGTGTCCTCACGCGCAGTACGTGGAGCACCCCTCCAAGCATCGCACAGGTTTTTCATTCCCAAAGCTAAACCTCGTCCATTCAACGCTAAAATTGCTTCTGTGACACGCGCCTGACGCAAACGGACACAACAACAACCGCACAATGACCGTGACCGAATTGATGCTGCCACAAGCTGCGCGCAATCCATGTGGTTGAATGAATCGATCCCAGTGGTTGGGATTGTGCCTGCCGGTGTCTGCAGCATGGGTCATGAGCAGTGTCGCCGGGCTCGCATTGCGCGCCGTCCACGGACAATCGCCAGAAACTCCTTGATCACCGCTATCTCAAGCGCCGACCGCTCATCCTCCTGCCGAGGTTGTCGAAAAGCGCTTTCGCGTTTATGACTACCACGCTCCTGGGGCCGCGGAAGTCCCTCAGTCTCGCTCGCGATTACGGTGTCGTTCCTCTGCGGGCCCGAGCACTGAAGTTGGAAAGCCTCAGGCCATCCGTGAATGCATCCTGGCATCCCACTGCTGCAGTTGACAGTGACATAAAAACGCTTTCCCTGCGACGAAGCCGCTTAGACCGCCAGCACATCAAGGATAGCTAGCCACCCATGTTGGCTACGGTCTTTTCCACTCATGTCAAAGGCTGCGTCTGACACTGACTCAATGACGCTTGCCACTGATGCTGCCAGCCACCATCCAGAAACAGCTACCGCGCCGCGCTGGATTCTTGGGTGGATCTTGAACTGTTCCTTCCCCTGCTCTGGTGACGGGCCTGCGTGGGCCGGCCGTACTCCAGACGCCATCCTCCGCCGTGCAGCTTGGCCCTGACAGTCTGCCGCCCTCGAACTTCTTGACCTGTTCACAAGCCCTTGATGGGCCCCTAGGCATGATGGAGCAGCTAACGTCGGTGATGGCCCGTTGCCCGTTGCGCATCTGCGGGAAGGTTGTTCCCGAGCAAAATGTGCTCCTTGCGGTAATTTGCGAAAGATTGGTGGTCTAGTGAGCACCATGCAGGACGAAGCGACGGAGCACCAAGTTTGCCATTGGCTCGCAACTGAAAGGCGGCTGTCGTGTGTTGTCCTACCTACAATCACTATGAAGGCGTCCAAGTTGTCGCCTGAGGGCACGGCAATGGTCACGCTTGATAAGCAAGTCCTGGAGGGCTGCGCGCGCAAAAATATGGTGCGCTGTCCGTCAACATCACAAGTGGCGCAGCCATACCGCACAGCGACTCTTCCAGCCGGCTTTGCACCAAGCCTGGCAGGCCGCTGTCGCAGAAGGAGTTCGCAGTCACCTGGCCTGGGTGGACTTGCCAGGACCACACCTTGCTTAGAGCACCCAACGCTGTCCGTTGCGCATCGTAAACGATGCCGCTTGATGCCTCTTGTGGAAACTGATGCTTGGGCGGGAATATTGGCAAGAACGGCCGCGATTTGGCGAGAACATGCGTAGTGACAGCTGCGGCCCTCAAGCTGGACAGGTGGTTCCCAGTTGGCGGAGTGGTGACCGGCGTGTCGAGGTGGTGACATCTTCAAGCCGCTGGTCATGACCACGGGCGCGGTTCATTTGCCCAGTCCGGGACTTCCGCCACGAAGCAACCCGGCGATGATCGTGCAGTCCACGAAAGCCTGGGTCGTATCCGTGATAACTCCTCGAGGTTGGAGACCTGCCCGGTGTTAAGCAACCCTACACGATGCGGCTCGGACCGGGGCCCAGGGCACAAGCCACGTCCGGAATCACGAAGCTGCGGCCCTAATGACATGGGTCTGTGCAAAAATAACGAACAGGAAAGTTTGGTTGGGGGGTATGATTCGCGGGTATGATTCGAAGTGTCATTCGGGGGTGTGATCCGGGCTGTTTCGCAGGAACTGAAACTTCTGTTGCAACATTAGCTGCCGTAGAAGTAGTCGTAGTAGCAGCAATAGCAGTAGAAGTAATAGCAGTAGTAGCAGTAGAAGTAGCAGTAGAAGTACAAGTAGTAGTAGTACTAGGAAGAGTAGTAGTAGTAGTAGTAGTAGTAGTAGTAGTAGTAGTAGTAGTAGTAGTGGTAGTGAGTAGTAGTGGTAGAAGTAGTAGTAGTAGTAGTAGTAGTAGTAGTAGTAGTGGTAGTGGTAGTGAGTAGTAGTGGTAGAAGTAGTAGTAGTAGTAGTAGTAGTAGTAGTAGTAGTAGTAGTGGTAGTGGTAGTGGTAGTAGTAGTAGTTGCAGTAGCAATAGCACTGGTGGTAGTAGTCGTAGTAGTAGCAGTCGTAGCACCTGGCGTTGCGAAGGGGGTGTGGTTCCGAGTATGATTCGGAGGTATGCGGCTGCGCCGACAGCATTCGCGCAGCGGTGGTAGACCGACTTCAAACCAATGAGACGCACGACGGCCGACGGACTCGGGTGGAGGAGGCCTAAGCCCTGCAACTTGAGCGCGCGGTGGCGCGGTGAGTTTGGACGGCCATCGGACACGCTGGTAGCGGTCGCCGTTCAAGAACTGCGCGGCTGCGCAGGATATGTCGCGCCTCGAAGACCAGGAGGACCCTCCACTCGCGGGCCGGTGACTACTGGAAAAGGCCGCGGAAGCAGGAAGGTCGTGCCGGATGAACGTAGACACAAAGCCCAAAAAAACTCAGGACGCAACAGGATGCAGATGTGTCTTGAAATCGGTTACCTAGGGCGGCAGCCCAAAATAGTAGGCCATGTGAGAAATTGGATCCTTTTTCCCGTCGAACGCATGAAGCAATCAAGGGATCTGTGGCCGATGGTCTCAAGACAGTTGCACACTGTCGTGTTAATTTGTTGGTTTTTCCAAAACAAACGTCAAGGGTCAAACGCTCGACGTTGTTAATCACAACGCACGCATTAATCCACGACACGAACGGACAAAGCCACAACAAAAGCGGGAGTGCAGAATGACAAGTCAACAACTGTGTAGAAACGCGAAGAAGCACAACGTCCAACCATTGACAAGACATGCGATGCACACACACACACACACGGAGCGCACATGCTAACTTTAAACGTGAGGGCTGCAGGTGCAAGTTGGAAGCATAGCGCCAGCCGTGCCATGTGGCCACTCAACTCCGCTCTCAACAAGTGCTAGGCAAGAGGGCATTCAGGCAGACTGGCAAACACGAACAGAATCAGTTTTCCACGCCGTCCTCCGGAGCAATTGGGGAGTTGCATAGGTTGGTTTGTTCCAGGTCCAGCCGCCGTTGAAGCAAGTCGACACCCTCATGATAGACGCCAGCCTGCAAAACATGACGCACATGCCTGCACGCGCCTAGCCATGCGTGTTGCAACATGCTGCTATGTGACTGCGCAATTCTTCTGCGACAATGGCCCACGCAGCCCGGACTCAGCCTGCCTGCGCGCGAGCCGCAGCCCAGCGAGCCACAACCATGAACAGCATTAGCGGCATTGCGCCGACGGTTCAGTACCGCCACTCCCGAGCCATCACGAAAGTAAATTCTGCTGAGATGTTCGCAGGAGCAAAGCAAATTGCAAGTCGGCACGCGCAAGTTGCATGTTACTCCGCCGCGCAAATCATGGGTCACGTTCGAACGAGCTTTGGCATCGCGCGCCCTTTCGGAATTCGAAGCGGCCACAGCTTCATGCGCATGGGGTACAAGTTGATGTTACAAGCGTCAATGGTTACAGAAAGCAAGGCAAGGCCTACCAAATTTTTGGCAGCGCCTGCGCATCGTCACGACCAGCGGCATACGCAGCCATGCGCGAACGCTCTCAGGCAGGACGCCTGCAGGTCGGTACGTCGGAAGATGTGCATCGGCGCATATTGCTGCACCTTCCGCTTTCGAGCCACCTCAGTCCGAAAAGGACATTGGAAAACAACAGCGGCAAAACAAAACTGCAGCGCAACGCAAACTTCTCTCCCAGGCCTCGGCCCTTCGCAGCGCGATGTTGGAGGAATGGAAAGACATATTGGTGCTTGTCTGAGCATTTCCTTTCCAGCATCACCAGCAAACCAAGGCCCTGCGACAAGGAAAGTAAGTATTCCGGGGTTCCCCCCCATGGGGGGGGGGGGGCATGGCAAATAGAATCTTTTTTGCAACCATGAACAACTGCAAAATAGACCCTATGCACGTGTCTACCATACGGGGGGGGGGAGGGGTTGCCCCCGCCATGAAGGCAAAAGTGAGGATTCAAGTAGGGGTGCAGCTAAATATCGGGCCCATGATGTTCAAAAAAGTGGTTCAACTAGAGGTGCCTCTCAAAAAAATTGCGCGGGTTTGGGGGGAGGTACCGTATCCCTGAAGGGAGCAGGTACCTTGTGGTAGTAGAGAATATGTGTGTAGGTCCCTGGAATCTTTTTCTGCAAGAGAATCCAAAATGCCAATAGTGAAGGAACTGAAAATGGAAGTTCCTGGTTCTGGAAATGTGCAATGTATACCTGCAAGGCGCTCTGCTAGGTCCTTTTTGTAATGGCTGCAGGATAAATGCAACTATACTACAAGATAGGGCCTTGAGCCAAATTAGCAATGTGTGGCTCAGGGTCAATTGCGAAGCAAAAGCAACACAAAAACAAACACAATTTCTTTTGACCCGGAACACCAAAATTGCATTCGTGGCTTCATGGCCTTTAGCCGTAGCCATACTTGTGGCGTGCTTGCCGTAGTCATATCGAAAAATCAACCATCCTATTTCAGTCGCGGATGAAATGTCTTGTTGGCAGAATGGGAAATGCTTTGTACTGATTGGACGAGATACCTAACTGTATCTAAAACGGAAATGTGAGAAACACTTTGTACACGCGGGATTGTGTGAACCAATTGATCACGCACAAGCAGAGTCTTGATCAATCGATTAGAATTCGTGGTGTCGTTTTCCGTGTGATGGTTCTCAGCGTGGATTGTTGTCATAGTATCTCACTTCTGCGAGTACCAACGCTAGCTGCTATCGGATTGGCTTGCATATCCTCCGCCATAATCCTCCCATCCTTGGTAGCCCGAGCTCTTCCGTCCTTGCTGATAGGATTGGCTCCATGGCTTCCATGCTGTCTCATTCTCCTTCTTCCTGTTCTGATTGTACTCCTTCTTGCGGTGGAAATTTCTTTCTTGATCAACTGCAAGGCTGCGAATGTAGACCAGCAATGGGGTATGAGAGCCGGAGTCGCATGGTCCAAGCATCAGCACCTCATTGTTGATGTGCTTGTAGCGCTCGGCGGAAGTGACCTTGTAGTCGGAGATGACCTTGTCAACATCTGCTTTCATGGAATCCATCGTATCTTGATCAGTCTTTCCCCAACTGAACACGAAGGTCATCATGCAATCCGGAAACGTTCTGTCAAATCCAGAACCTTCCTTCATGTGAAGATGGTGACGAGCAATGGGTTTAATTGTGCAAGAGGTCGACATGGTGAAATCCATTCGCTCCGCCAACGGCATGTCTTGTGTGCCATTCCAGAGGTTCTTGAACTTTTCCGTAATGTAGTTCATGAGGCCGTGCTCAGGATTGTAAACGGATTGTAGCTTACTGAGCGTATTTGCGGACTTGTTGGCGTCGCCTGTGATCGCATCGCAGTGGTACTCCGTGACGAGCGGCATGATGCTTTTCTGTACTTCGTCTTTTGCTGCACCATGGCTGACGTTCGGATGAATATGGAAAACTCCAACGGTGGCAAGTGGAAGGTCAGCTCTTGTGACATGACGGGAGTCGTAGGAGAGAACAGGGTTCTGAGTGGATTTTGGAAATGTTCCACGGATCTCATTGTTCTGCTCAATGTGGATGACGACAATCTCGCTGTTCTTGCCATGCCTTTGTACGGTGGTGCGTGGTGGCAATCTCTGCCCAATATACTTCTCTTGGTTGAGGAACATGGGTGTTCCGGTGGATGCCAAACAGTCGGGTGTTGGAGTATCATAGTCCGGATCATTGCAACCGTCTTCGAGCCCGAAGAAGCATCTGAACATTCCGAATGTTTTACTCCAGAATTGGCTGTTCGTTGAAATGTAACGTGCCAACAGTTCGACTCTGGCGTTTTTCCCACCTCGGACGAAGCATGCGATGGACTTGGATGACCAAAGCTTGATGACGATGCCCTTGTATCCGCATTTTATGAACAGCTTGATGAGATCGAGGGTCTTACCTTCATCTGGGTAGAGGAACGCGTCCGCCTCGTTGATGCAGAGGATATGTGCACTGTTCTGCATCATCTGCATGATGAGCGGTCGGTGCTTGATTGGCCATGACTTGAGTTCTTGACTATCCAGCTTCGGACTCCTTGTGAGGTTCCCGTGATTCACTCTCAGGATGTTGAGTGAAATGCTGGATGGATAGTCTTTCCTCTTGAGGTAGTCGACAACTTGGCCATCACTTCCTTGCATCAGGGATCCCAGAATGGTCGTGAATGACTTGATGAGCTCGGGATCGTGATAGTTCTTCAACTTCTTGAGTCCGATCGGAAGTCGCAGTGGATACCGTGAAGGGTTCTGCGCTGCTCTGAACTCTTCCAGGGTCGGATGTTCACTTGCGTGCTCGAAGTAGGACTCATCTTCATCAAGGTTCTCATCTGTGTGCCAAGGATCACTCGGTCAGGTCCTTATGTGTCTTCTTTGGATCCATGTGGTACCTCTCCATGAAATCCGTCGGCCTTGGACATTTCCCGGTCCAAATAAATGTCCTGAAATTCCTGATTGAATTCAGCCGCATTGGCCTGATTGGGAGGTTCCACAATGACCTTGACCTTGACTTTGACGGATCGATCTTCTCTTGTGCTCATGCTTTCGCCATCATGGTCTGTCGTGGTCTCGCTGGATTGCTCTTGTTCGGGTTGATATTTGTTGCGCTTGTCGTGGGAGATGCCCTTGTCAATGTGCTAGAAGTGCTCAGCAAACTCCTGGATCTTGGATTCACATTGTTCTCGGTCGTCATGGTCGAGATTCTTCTTCATGATCCAGTGGCTGTGCGTCAGAGGCTGCCCATCGGTATCGAATGCTGCGATGGTGCTGCATAGATCGATGGTGTATTCTGACAGGGCAGTTCTTTCTTCCGTGATTCGGATGTTGTACTGGTTGTCTTGTGTGAATGCAAGGATCAACAATGCATCGCGTCCCTTAGGGACATGGGTCAGCGCTGCGTCTGATTCCTGATCATCGTAGATGATATCGTCGATGCATGCCAGGTGGACGTGTTGTCTTCCCCGAGGGGTGCTAGTTTGTCCTGGCTTGATTCCTTGCTGCATGATTTTCTCGATCTGAGTTCCATAGATGGCATGGAACATGAATGTGACGGCCTTCTTCCTGAACGGAACGATCTTGCCGTGCTCTCATCTTCATGGTCCTGATCACGAGGCTTGGATGCATTGGGCAAGTCGTATGATGGCTCTTCCCAGGTGTTCTTCCACAAGGGTCTCCCAATGGTTTCCAGCTCAACATATCGTGAGTGACCACTGATGCATCTCACATACAGCTCCATGCTGTCGTGACTTGCCATCAGGCCTAAGTGCACGGAATGCTGCCTTGGATGTGAGGTTGTCAATCCATCGGTCTCTAAGGACAATAGCGTTCCTTGCTTCCCGCTATCCATCAAACTTCGGATACACGAACGCTCTCTCGAATCTGGATTTTTGAAAGGATGGAAGCATTGTCATCAGGAATATGCCTAGTATGGAAGGAAGTTTCGCGCATGGGTGATTGCACACAATGCCTCATACAGTTCGCATGATCCATCCAGGTTGAAATTGATAGCCCTCTTCAATTCTCGTCCTTCTCGTGGATGGTGTCGAAAGGCATTCAGAAAACAGCCTGCTCATTCTCTCCACTCTCCAAAGGATGAAGTGGACAATGGGCTTCGCGTAGGACTGCTCCATTGAGTAATATACGCAGATGGATTCGGCATTGGTGATGGTCTTCTGCACGTCGATCTGCCCGTTGTGGGTTACCATTGGTATGACATCAGTGCTGAAACTCGTGGGATCGTCGTTGATCAGGCAACACATACCGTAGATCTTCTTGATATAGGCCATGTACGCATTCTCTCCCTGGGTGTCCTCTCCACGAGTAGGTTCCCACACGTCATTGAACTTGGTCTTCAACCAGCATGGCTTGTCACCGGACCCTCACAGATGTTCTGGAACATAGTTGAATTCTGGATGTTTCTCTTGGATGGTGCGGCACTCACGGTAGTACTGCTTCACAATGCTCAGAAACTTGTGGTTCCAGAATGGCGAAGGATTCGCGGTATCTCTCAAAAGCTGAATTCCCATCTGCTCTGGCTGGGCTCACCCACTTGGATTGTTCAAGGGATGCAGGAGGTGCCTTCCCGATGGCCGTCTTGGAAAAAATCAAAATCATCGTTGGCCGTCTTGGTAGCGGTGGCCGTTCTTCATGATGATGCTTGACATTATCGGATTCCGTCTCTTCGTCCAAAGTCATTCATCTTCGGTGTAAGCCTCAGTGTTGGAACCGGAGGCTGCATAGGCATTGCCTTCTGCCTTGGCCGTTCCTCGAGAGGTGGCTCCGAGGGCTTCTTGTCTTCATCGCTGTCGGAATCTCGATCATAATCTGCCTGCTCCATTGGAATGTCTTC